ATCGAAGCAGGAGGCGGGCACTTTGAAAACTTGTTGTGATTATGTATCGTCATTGTTTGTTGTTTTAAGAAAATATTTTTCTTTCTATGTTGGTATGCAAATAATAAAGTTCGAGCGTTTTTCATGACGCACGTAATTTTTCGCCACCCTGTCGTGTGAGATCATCGATGATTCATGCGCTTGAATCTTCATATTGCCATTCTAATCATAGAGATAAGATTTGTTGTAACGGCACTTCAACATCGACTTTGAACTTGTATTTTATCCAAAGAAATTTCCCGGAAGCACTCTGAGTAATTTACCGCAGCGATGAAGAAAGGAACTGAAAAAGCTCGCATCTTTCGAGAACGGTATGTGATAAACAAATCTAGAAACTCTTCCCCAACATGTTCTGAATACACCTAAATTAGAGAGATGGATTTTCCTTTCGAGCATTAAAATTTTTCTCAAAACGTTCAAGTGCTCCAGGCCTAGATTCTTCAACCGAGACTCATACAAGGGCATTACATCAGGTCTTGTGCGGTAACAGCGAAAATAAACTAGCTCAGCGAACAAACGCTGGACATACTCAAGACTATCAATGTCCTTTTTCTTGTACGGGCTCCATGAAGATGAGTTCTACTCTAGAAGGGGACGCACATAAACCTTGAATAATCGTGATAACAGTAGTGGATTTCTCAAGCGGAACGTTTTTCTTAATGTGGATATGTATATGGATATGTATATGGGAGATTCAATGAGCCTTCATTCAAATTCCAAATTTTAACAAGGAAGCTGAAAGATTTACTACCTGCACTCTAATACGGACAAGGTGCGCCAGTGAGAACTCGGTTTACTGATAACACACGTTTATATCCTTCTTGTAACTAAAAGCAGTGCGATTCCGGAAAAGAAATGGTTCAAACTGCTCATAGAAAAATTACTGCATCCGTCATGACTGACGAAGGCTAGGGGGCGCAATCTGGCTGTTCTCCAATTGACTTGTGGTAGTTGCTAACCAGGGGCTACCTTCACAAGCGTAACCACTGTATAATACATTGAAGAGTATAATGTGTCCCGCGCGCTTATTCAATCGATTGCATGTGATTCTGGATACGTAAAAGATAGGAGACAATAAAGATGCCAAATACTCCTATAAGGGCTAGAGTGCAAGTGCGAGACCCCGAATGCCACCGATATCTTTGCTTCAGAACCACGCTGTCGCCCGCGCAACATCCTCGGTTATAGGCATTGAAACAGTCGATCATCTGCTCCTGTATCTGCTCTTGTTAAATGAACGGTCTCCTACGACTGCATAGATCAGCTGCATCGGCGGCGTCCTGAAATGGCATACAGATTTTCTTACGACATTCGGTTTCTCTCATTTTAGAGGAATTTCTATAAACTGTCAATGAAGGTAGATATCCTAATGATGCAAATCTATGCCTTCAGAGAACCGAAAAGAAAACGGCCGAAACTGGTGCAATAGGAGCTTTTAACAAGTTTATAATCATTAGCGTTCTTACAGAGGTTGGGCCATGTCTTACATCATCCAAACTGTAGCACGCTGGTGTGAATCAGCCAATTGATACAAGCTAATAAAGGCACAGTTCACGATCATTTTGAGGAATCAATTTTAAGTGGAAAAAAATGGAAGTCATGGTGTAGGATAGTAAAAGGGTGGAGAACAAAGCGCGAAAGTTGTTGGATTCCAAGAAAACCTGCCTTTAAAAAATAGCAAGTGGGTGGACAAGGTGGGCGTCTTGGTGTCTGTTACCCTCGTCACGTGAGCAGTACAGTAATAACAAGGTCGGCAAAACACGACCACGTTGAGTGCCTGTGTTGGCCAAATCGGTTTTGGAGCCCTTACCGCGCCNTGTCTAGGCCGCTTTTCGACCCCACAACGGATCATGTACTATTATTAGAGGCCACACATTCTTCTAGCGGAGGATCTTGGGAGCCTTTCCGACCTCGAACCATTCCTTCGATATACGTACAGTAGCGCTCAAAAGTCTTCGGTGAATTGCTTTGACGCTTTTTCGTTCATAACTTTTTTCTTAGTATACCAAATCGCGCAAAATGTGGATATGTTTAACTAGAGCATATTTCACCCTACCCAGCACTATTTGACTGCAAAGCTGCAATATCCACAGATAGAGCAAGTTGTTTGTTGCGGTAACAGTTTTTGCTGAAGCTAGAGTTGTTGACGTCCCCACTTATTCGCACCTTATGTGCCTTTTTCTTCTCTACTGCATTCGGCATTACCGCTCGTACACTTTAGACATGAAAAAAAACAAAAGAGTTTCTAGAAGGACCATCATCTGTATATTCAGTCAATTTTGAGATCATGCTCTTTGGAATATCTGGAACATGGTCAGATTGTAGGTTAACAGTGGTAAATATTCACAATACATCGAAGCTCCAAATATAGAAATTTCGCATGATTAGATCCAGTAGGAAAGGAGTTACGACTGAAAAGTACGGCTGAAGAATCATTCCACCGAAGACTTTTGAGCCCTACTGTAGCTGCTAAAAGTCTGAAATTTCGTTCGAACACCCTTTCTCTGACCATGAATCCTCGTTGTACTTAGAAACCAAGTAATTCATATAAGACCAATGGTTTTTCATTCCCGCTGATCTCGTTCCTTCCAGCTCCTATTATTTGTTCTGCGCCAACACCTTCGCCTTGTAGCCTGTCCCCGTTTGGGATCGAGCGGGTCTTATTGGTTGTTCGCTAAAGTACTTACCTTTTTTGGGTGGTGTGTGTGGTTTGTACACGATGTCTACATATGTGCAAGCTTTATTAGGTAATCACGAGAAGCCCCATATCAGCGGTGCAACGGGTATTTATACCCAGCCGGTAGGAGGTGACAAACAATGGGGTTATCAATGATCAAGGCGGGGAGAAACAGTTTACAGGGTTATCGAGCCTCGGGGGTAGGTGNAAAGCGAAGTGATTCGTCTGATTTAGAGGCGAAACGAATCACTTACATTTAATTAATAAACAAATACTCACAAGACTTTTTGATTTTTCTTTTTTATTATCAAAGGTCACAGCAGTGAGAAATAGCGTACGACTCCATCTATGGTTACAGTGGTGGCAGGTGTAAGGTGTAGAAGGTTATCAAAGGTTGAATGGTCGCCCAGAGGGAGACATGGCCCATCAAAAAGAGTTGAAATTAGTGATTTGTTGAGACGCCACGATTCTTGCATAGAAACTTCCTTTTTGTACTGACAGAGACGAGCATTTAGATTTGATCTTCTTATCTGACATAGTTTTCATTCAGCCTAGCAAACGTGGCCGTGTTGGTAGCTGGATATTTACGCCTTCCCAATCACTGTACACAGTACCGGTAGTATTCGGCAAGACGAAAATCACAAATGGTAAGCCCCCTAGAGCAGTCATATTGTCGAAAAAATTCGCAGTGTCAATTTTTTTCCAGAAAAAGGCCCCGCACCGTATTGTGTTTCTATTGCTACCCCATTCTGGGTCAGTTGCCATCAAGAGCAGTACGCTTCCTCAAAAACTGGAGAACGTATCCGCGAAAGTATCGAAATTCGTCAATTTAAGGGCAGTGAAACGCCCTACTATGTTGGTTACTTGATACATAGAATTCTGTAATATGATAGAAAAGCTTCATCTCTTCTTTCCTCTATCAGGCGATGGTAGCACTGAATACGACGGCACATCCTCTCTTCAGTGAATACGTCTATCTAGGAAAAGGGGTTATCCGCATTGATCGGAGTTGCTACATTCCTACCGAAAATAAGGTACCGTTTAAAATTATGTCTCAGTTCAAATGAACCGTCATTCATTTGATTCGAATTGTATTCAGTGGAGAAATTTCTTCGACGCTGGTGTCACCACAAAAACAATGCGTCAATATCGAATTCCACTTCCATGGAGGGGAGGAGTCAGTAATACCAAGTACGCTCAAATTCATTGATAAAAAGCACATAGTGAAAGATCAGAAGTATTCGCTCGAGCGCTCAAACCACTCAAAAAGTGTGAACGCAAATGCTGTGGAATATGGTATCACATCTGTAAATTTGTTGAGTGTCAGACCTTCCACACGAAAGGTGTGACGCGATCGATGGACCCGCCGCATGTAGGAGCGTGTGGGGTATGGGTGGTTCTAAATTTCCGCTGAGTACTTACGGTAGTTGCCGCGACAGAACCGCCGCTTGCCTGCAAGCGTCCGTGGGAGTTCGAGTACATGAAAAGGTAGCCACCCGGGATTCCGTGGCTTATGAGTTCCAACTTTAAGCGAATCGCTTGATGTTTCAGCATTCCTCGTGCTCCACCGATCACAGATATTCAAACAACTGTCCGAAGTACGGCTAAGGAACAGAAGGATGAAAAGTACGTATTTAGTAAATTGAAGATGTTTCTATTTGGCGGACTTTCGGTTAGGACCATGACAAGAAGTTGTTCATATGTCCTTCATTGCAAAGCGTACGCGACCTAGATCAGGCCCTGTCGGAAGAATTGGCTCGATGTGACGACCTGCTTTTGTCAGTGACCGTTGTTTTTGAACTATGGACCCATGCTTTACAGAAAAATGTTGTTTCACTTCCCGTTGAAGCTAAACCAAGATAAACTTTCTGATCGTCATAAGTGATCCTACTCTAAGCTGTTGGGAAATACTTGTAAGAGCAACAGTGTGAGTGCTTTCCTAGAAAAAGTTAATGCAATACACACACTAATTTTTCTAAAAAAAAAACGAATATCATTTGATTTATACTGTGCCCAAGCCCAATCCTGTGTCTCTTCTCCTCCAAAAGAATAAAAAATTATTTATTATCGATATACTATAAGAAGCATTTTGTAGAGAAAGTAAGAAAACAGAAGATAAAAACTTATCAAAGGCTGCGAAGAAAAAGAGAAAAGGGCGAGGTCGACGTCGTCTACCACCGCCAAGGCTAGAACGAACAGGATTTAACATCTCATCAAGGGTGAGGAAGGGTTCACTTTTGCAAGCTTTTGATCTTATCACAGGTGCTGTTCACGGTGAAAATGCTTCCTGAGAGTATCTCCAAGATAGATTTGTGATCTCCGAGGCACGTGGGACATAGTCACTCCAGAAAACAACCTCGAGAGAGAGAGAATAATAAAGGCTCCGAAACTTGCATGACCGAGCTACATATACAGATGGTTGGTTATGACTTAGATCTTACCGATTCTGCGCCATTCACAGTGGAGCAAGCATGCATGTTGAAGATTGTAAGAGATCTCGACCCATGGCGACAGCGGACAACTTCGGTGGCAGGCCGTCTGGGTAATCCAACATCGGCGTCGGCGATGAGACGCCAACAAATGGTATGCTCATGTGGGAGATACCCAAACGGTTGATGGGCGCGACACATCCTTACAGAACTTGCAACACACACCTTTTTCTTTTTTTCTTGTAAGAAAACAGTTTTCACGCTAGTATACTTCCCCTGGAAAAATAATATTATTTTCCTACTTGCTGTCGCAAAACAATGTTTTTGCACTCGAATCTTGCCTTTTTATCTGTGCTCTGTGGCACCCGAGATTGAATGAGATTGAAGGTTACTTTGGATTATAAGTGATAGGCTTGCAAGGCACCGGTTTACGATCAGCGCCGACATTAGCTGTTGAGTATCGCGATGGGACGAGACCCAAGGCTCAAAAAAAGGAGTTAATTTTTTTCCTCGATCGTGTCCTGGCAAAATGCAGGGGGAGTGGTTCTCCGAAAAGGAGAAAGAAAAACTCAATGAATTTGTGTATCGAAGGAGCCAGAGAATGATGGACACCCTTACTTGCGTTCTGTACTCCTCGGTTTTCCCTCAGCTGCTCTTATCCTTAACTAGGGTTGACTTGTCGGATAACAGATCATCCCGCAAGGATCAAAATACATTATCACTGGCGAATGAATGCATTAGTGGCCGAAGCCGGAATCGTAATATGGTCCTCACTTTCTATTTTCTACATTTCAGGAACAGGGCTATGACCTAACGTCCAGATCGAGGTTTGTCAACCATTAGTTTCCGTATAATTCTGATAATGAGAAATAATTTCAAGCACTACCTTCGCCTCGTTATCTCAAAATCCTACTTCCGAGAGCGATCTTAGTCAGGTAAATGTTTGAGCTGTACAAATTATGGAGCTCTGTATGACAGTAAAAAATGCTCTGTTGTTGGAAAGTGATGATATCAGACCAAAATTCTTTATCAGCGAGGATTATTAGAGTTGGGCACGTACGGTGACTGATGAATTGGGAGGTTTTTGTGCTCTCTCTCTTCTCATACTGAAAAACAGAATTAGCGAAACAGAGCCAATCACTTTTTTTTAGTTGAAAAATCGCGGCTACAGGACAGATCTCCCCGTAAGTTCCGTGTTTTTTCTTTCACTTGTACAATAAGTCTGTGTACAATGCAAAAGTTACGAATAAGTGATGAGTGTTATGCTTATAGGCGCTATTTACCCTTTACTGCCCCACTTTGTCGAGAATGAGCTGGATTTCTATCGAATTTTTTTNCTTCCGAGAGCGATCTTAGTCAGGTAAATGTTTGAGCTATGCAAATTATAAAGCTCTGTATGACAATAAAAAATGCTCTGTTGTTGGAAAGTGATAATATCAGACCAAAATTATTCATCAGCAAGGATTATTAGTATTAGGCACGTACGGTGACTGATGAATTGGGAGGTTTTTGTGCTCTCTCTCTCTTCTCATACTGAAAAACAGAATTAGCGAANAGAAATCCAGCTCATTCTCGACAAAGCGGGGCAGTAAAGGGTAAATAGAGCCTGTTTATAAGTAGGCTTCCAATAAAGTGGCCTTCTACAGACCCTCTCCTTGGCCGAGCCACCTTTAGACCGAGGAGGGGAGTTTCCCAGCTCGACGTTCGCTACTGGTCTACGGGAAACCTTTTTGCATGATCATGTTATATAAATAAGCTGCAGGGTGTCACTCGGTTGCAAGGGAAGACGGGTAGTAGGATCACTAGAAAAAAATTTAAGCATCTACTTAGAAAAATCGCTCCCCCTACTTTTAGAATCCCATGGAAAACGCTTTTCTGCCTCCAAAAAGTAGAATGAAGGAAAGCAAAACATTGTGAGTGCTCTATTCGCCGATCCCACTTTTTTGTATTTGCTTTATTCAAATGAGTAGTGGAACTATATACAAAATTCATCTTACTGCAGGCTTGGCGTTGTAAGACATAGACGAAAAAATAGGATGTACTCATGAACGCCAAATATAACAGATCATTTTAGAGCCGGAAGTGGTGTACTGGCATCGCCCACGGAAGCATC